GCCTTCTGCAGGAGAGGCTGGGACTGTATTTCAGAAGTGGTGAGGAAGTGCTCTCCCTGCACTCGGTCTGCAAACCTCCTTGAGTTCTTTGCAGATGAAAGGCACTGGGAACTTTGCAGTTGTATTTACAACATTGACATAGCAGATATTATGCCATATCAAGTTTAACTGTACTGCTCTGCTGCCTGAAGAGTGAGGGGCTTGGAAAAAAGATTTGCAGTGGCTAACAAATGGGTTATTCACAAATTCCCCTGAGTATCTCCTAGTCTGTATAAGTGTCCAGTGTTTGCTGTATAATGATGTACGAATGTGCATATAGTAGCTAAATGTGCTCTTAAAATTAAGAGGTAAGAAAAAGACAGATTTGACCTCACAGCAGCCAAAGATGATGTCCAAATATATTTCTGTGTGTTCTGCTACTGGTAACACTCAAAAGCTTACTTAAAGATTAGGGGTAATTCTGTTTGCTTGCATTTCCATTACTGTATCTTCCAAATAACTCCATCTCATAGGAAGAAAAAAGGAAGTCTTGATCTATCTGTTAAGTCAGTCTGTTTTCTATTGTATTTACTGACAATTAGTTGAACAATCATAAGCTGTTACAGAGAATAACCTTGTCAGTATAATCAGGTAAGTGTTTAAGTAGGTGGAAAAAAAAAAATCAATCCTCCTGCAATGAGATTTAAGGTCACTGTTGTTCAAGATCCAGGATCATATATGTGACTTTTTGATACCTCATAACTTCCTCTGGAGAAGTTTTCTCTTTGCCCCATGTGAAGTTATGATATCTTGCCTGAAAACATGCTTCAAAGACAAGGAATTGCACTGACCTGTGGGAGTTTTTCCTCCTGTTCTTGCTCTTGGTGACCTGCTGTGCTTGTTTTATTAACCACTTGGCATTTTTATGGGCACTAATCCTCCAAAAGAAGAATATTGATAAGCAGAGAGGAAGAGTTGGTTGTATAAAAAAAGGTCTAAAGCATAAAATTGTCATCCAGGATGGAGACCATATCTGACCTTGAGCTTTTCTGCTAAGGAGCAATGCCTTGTTTTCACTTGTGCAGTAGACATTTGTAGGGGCTTATAGTTACCTGTTAACAATAGCCTTCAGGGAAGCTGAAGGCTGGCAAAAATACCTGTCTTCTGTATTGACAAGGCTTGAGCGCATGCCTAGGTAGTAAATTGTGTACACGTGTGTATGTATGTCTTTGAAATATCATTATGTGGATGCATATATGTATCACTCCATAACTAGATGGTGGCACGTTTGAAAGTTCATATCCATTTACTTAAGTATTTACATACTTCAATCCACATTAAGGCCAATACCCATATCTTTACACCAGAATATATTAAGTTCAAGGAAGTAGTGAAATACATGCCTAATTTTGAGCGTGGACTCGGGTCCAAATGCAGTAAACTCTTTCACATGCTAATCAGCAGTGAACCAACAGTTTATGTTATGACAATGATTAAAGCAGTGCTCATGTATAAAATGTGTCTGTCTGTTTTCTCCTTGTTTATGTGATACAATCTTCCTCTTTCTTTTTAAGCTATCTATGAACAATCTTGTGAGGCTTACCGACACCAAGGGAAGACATCAGGTTTCTTCTACATCGATTCTGATGGAAGTGGACCACTTGGACCACTCCGTGTTTTTTGCAATATAACAGGTAATGACCTAACCTTGTCTTTGGTGCTTTACGTTGCCTCTAATATTATTGGCATGTCTTTCATGTACTACTAAGAAGACCCCACAATCATGGGTGTCTCAGTAGTGGGAAAAAGAAGGGAACTGGTAGTAACTGAGGTTCGACTCTGAGGTGTTTCCTTAAATAGGATCCATGTAAAAGTGATTTTTAAACTTTAAGTTTGAAAGAGTCACCTTGTACTGTTGCTAAGTGGTATTTACAATGGTATTTGCACCTTTTAAAGGGCACTGCTGATGTATTTTTCATAATATCGTAACTTTTAATGAGATATTTGTATTTTTTACTAAAGATGTAGAAACTTAGAATTCAAACCTTCTTTCGTAACTGTGAATGGTTTCTCTGCTTTACTAGAACACTAGATTGGGGAATAATTATTAAACTCCTTGCACTGAGCTAGCTGTAAACCCTTCCAGCCTGACTTAAGCAGGAATACCGCCCCTCATACGAGTGTGCTGCCTTTGATGTCCCAGATAATAGAAACCCTGATCATCCTGGGTATCTGTATGGAGGAGAAGGCATGATGCTCTTAGGAGGAGGGACACCAAAGAGACAGGTAGGGGAGCAGGAGCCAGTCAAGGTGACCTGTTGGTTGAGACTTCTCGACCTTACAGTTCTGTAGTTTTAAAATAAAAAGTGTTTCAAATGAATATACCTGGCTGGCAAATTCTCCCCTTAAGTGGGTCCTATTTTGTATATAGGACTGTCATGCAAGGGTATGAGAAAAGATTATATAGCCCATATTGTGGATTGGGGTAGGTGGTAGAGCGTCCTTTCTGATTTTTATTTTTGAAATGGAGAGGAAATGTCCTAGACTGTCTCCTGTTTGGCATTTTTTGCTTCCTGTGGCCAGGTGCGGATGAAAGAATATTTTATTACCCCTTCTAAATTGCTAATTCTGGTTGAGCTACTTTGCCACATATCACCTCCACACTCCGTCCTGAAAACGAAGGACTCAGGATATTCATATTTTATCCTTAATCTCCTTGTACTTAAAGTGTCTCAAATTAAATTTTCTTTTTGATTTAATTGGACAATGATTATGTTAATTAAATGCACACCAGTTAATTAAGTATGTTTTTTATTCAAGTGTAACAAATATTTAATAAGATGTGTCTCCTTCACTGTTGTTGAATCTCGTAAGAATTGAAACAGAGTTTCACCTTTCTGTCTGAATATCCTTCCTTGATCTCCAGTATGGGAAATGTGCTCATTTTTATTATTTATCATATAAATATGTGTGATGAAAACATTGTCAGTGCTTTTTATCTCTGCTGAAGAAGTAGGATTTTTGACAAACTCCTTGCAGAAAGCTTCTGCTTTCCTCAAATAAATTTTATCTGGCAGAAATCCAGAAGGCATATACCTGATTTTCTCTCTATCTGTAATGAACTTGCTGACATTCTTATTTTATTTTGGTTACAAGAAAAGTGGGAGGTGAGGAAAACTGCCAGAACCTCCTAGCCTGGAAAACTTTCTTTTTCGTATTTCTTCTTTTCCCCTAGATGTCTCATTTGAGGCAGGGGAAGATCATTTGTCACAGACATCTTTATTATTCCTATTGCATAAAAGAGGACTGAGGCACAGAAAGAAATTACTATTTTACAGTTGTCCAGAGAGCTTGAGGTGCAATTGGGTTATGCTTCTGTATCGTCTAAAGATGGTTTGGGTGCCTTAATCACAAAAGCTTCTTTTCTCTCTGGGAACATACCTTATTGTTATGCTGATAAAAATTGTTTACGGTAATAGGTTAAGTGCAAAGTATGGAAAAAGTAACTCAACTTTATGTACACAGGGATGGATTCTGAATTTGTTACTCTCTTCAGGTAATGCTTCTGCATAGTTTTCTGAAAATAAATATTCTGGGAAAGTAAAAAAATGAAATTCTGTGTTGTCATATTAGGACCATACAAGGAACAGAGACAAAAAAGTCAATGTTATTGTTCAGTGATATAAATCCATACCACACCTCCTGTGAATGGAAAAATGTAGATGGTCAGAAGCATGAATGGCTTCCATGTATGGGAAGACCAAACAAATTAAAAAGATGGTGGAGGGAACTGTCACAGGAAAACATGGGGATCATATGTGGCACAGAGAAAGCAAACAGGGACTGAATTTTTTTCATCATATAGGAGCTAAGGGACAGTAAAATTATTAAATAGCAGGATTTGGCATTTTTTTGTTTGTTTGTTTTCTTTTTCCTGATGCAATGAATAGTTCAACGTGAAACTTATCGCCACAGGACATGAAGGAGGCCAATGTATCCACAGAGGGAAAAAAAACCAGTCTGGAAAAAGCCCCGATCTTGTCTGATAGATTCAGCAGGTGCAATTAAACATGGAGGTTTAGTTACAGCTCCCAGCTCAGGCAGCTGTGAGGCAAAGATCACTGAAAAATGGGAACAAGTTTCAGGAAAACCTTTTGCCTTCCCTTGCTTCCCTGGGTATCTGTTCACCCTCAAAGGTAGAGGTAGGCTCCTGGGCTAAATGAAGCTTTGCTTTTACTCAGGCTGGCAGTTCTTCTTTTTGTACACAGTTCAAGAAGAGGTAACCTTTCTGTGCCCAAAATGTGTTAAGGCTGAAGAATTTGGAGGTGGAATGGAAAATACAGGGAAATCACTCATTTAGTGCTTTTAAAAGTAGAGGTGCAGTGAGTTAATGACTTCTGGGAATTACAGTGCCTTGAATCTGTGAAGGATGAATTCAAAGAAGGAATCAGATCATCAGAAATGAGCAGCATCATTGCATTTAAAGAGCAGTGGTGTTCCTTAATGTTCACTTCCATTTGTTTAAAATGCTAATTTTTACCTGTTTAATTGAACAGATAGGGATCTTGTTTGTAGCCAGTTATTAACCAGGGCAGATTAACAACAGCTTTCTCATATATTGGTGTCTGGTTATAGGCATCCAATGTGTGATGTGGATATGGGAAGTATCAACATTACAAGCTAATTTATTGTGTCTGTGGTCCCAGTGATTTCTCTGCAGCCTGTCAACTTTAACAGCCCACTGCTGAATAAAAATTCTGAAGAAAGCAGAAAATTGCAATTGTGTGTGTTGAGAGGGAATTGGACAATCATACAATGACAAAGA